AAACCAAACAATAATTAAATTACAAAAAACACAAACAAAATGCAAACATGAGTTCCGCCACATCGGGCGCCGCATCACAAGAGCCGCAACTTTCCGGACACACCGTCGACGCGATCGCACTGTCCGTATAGGCACAAGACAGTGGTGGAGCCGGCCTTGACTTGTGTGCGGCCGGCGTCCTGGACGAGATACGTGGGCAGACCCGCCACCAGCGCCTGCTTTTCCAACTCGATCAGGTGTTGAGTGGACTCGCCTTTCAGCACGATTTTTGTTTCGCCAAACTCTGACCACCGGATCAGTGATTCGCCGAATCTGTTCTGGTCTTGGAGTAGCAACTGATGCATACCGAGCGCCGCGTGGGCTACTTGTGCGGCCACTTTGCCCACACCCATCTCTAGTGACGAGTTCACTATAAACACCATTTTGTACACTAATTGTTGACCTGAATGGGCGAATAAACATCATCATTAATACTTATGCACTATGTAGTTTTAAATTTACTACTATTGTAATTTACATTATTAATAAATTTATACACTATTAGACCGTTAATTGCATACACTTATTGTCTTCTAATTAACATTAAGTGTATTAAAAGTTTTAATTAACGTAATTAATGTACATTTAATTCTACTTTCAATAGTAAACTTAATTGCAATTTCAAAGTGGAGTTCGTTATAGAGTAAAACTAAACACAAAAACTACAGTTAAAGCTAGAAAATAAACTCAAAATCGGACACAAAAACACATCACATAAATGTGTGGCACAGACCTGACTGCGTGGCACCGCCGGAGTCGGCACCGGTAGCCGCGCCCCTCACACTCTGTACGGGTATATTGAGTCCTCCGCCGCCGACGTCCAGCTCTAACTCCAACGGTGTGTCCAAGTCTTGCGACGGGTTCTCGAAGATCCAATTGGCGGCCATCTCTACCGACTGGTTGTTGGTATAGTAGAGCGCCTTCTTAGCGGCCACACCGCTCACACCCATATCGGTCAGCAGTGACATCAGCTCCGGGTCCGGGCGCCAGTGTTTGGGCGCCGACAGCTGTCCACCGCCACCACCGCCCACAACGACGTGAACAGCGGCTATACCGGCGCCGGTGAGTGTGGTGTTGGCCACTGTGGCCGCGGCGGCGGCGTTCAGCTGTTCCGCCCCATCGGCTTCACCCCTACCGGCGCCTCCGCCACCGCCTCCGCCGGCTGTCCGCTCGTTGTCTGCGCTCGTGTTCATCGATCGTATATGTCTTGCGGTGTCTCTCGAGGTATGTCTGAAGAGATAATTTTGTTTTATTGTTTAATTCATTATTAATTTTATGGTTTATTTAATTGTCTCATTAAATACTCGCGATTTGATTGGCGACAGACAATAGCGGCAATTGTCTGACGAGTGTTGCGATGGTATGTCTTGAGATGATATGAGATATGTGTTGAGCGGCGGATCAGTTGCCTCAGCAGATGAGGTGTTGTCATAAAATATATCTCATTTAAAACACTTAATGATTGTTTGATTTAATGATTGTTTTGATTTGTTTTGCCGTTAAATATCATATGTTTGTTAACAGCAATCATTCGTATAAGACGTTACATATTTTGTGCATAAAATTTGCCCCCAATATGTTGCTATAATAAATGGTTTGGTATTCCCTTCGCATTATGATTACACCCCTGTTATTATAGTAACGTTTTATAAGAGTGTGATAATACGATACACGTTGTGGTTATAAGCGGTGCCAATAGAGGGAGTGGTGACTTAGTTGTGAATAAAATGCTTTGCAGTAAATGTCACTAAATTAACGATAATTTTATTTAAATTATAAATTGTTATTTATAACTTTTTTTAATTAAAATATTTTTAACTAATGATTTTTTATTAAATGTTTTTCAATTCAAATGTTAGTGAATTGAATGATATTATTCATCGATTATAGAGTGTATGACAAACTTGTAATTCACTGTTTAATATGTTTAACAGTTTAAGCATTAAATTGATTACAAAATGTTATGTTTAGTTATAAACTGATTATACAATTTTAATAATAATAATGTTTTAAATGTATTATACATTAAATTATATGGTATGCGATGTTATAATGTGTTGTAAAATAAACATAAGACTCTATGGTATGAATGGATCAGCTTTTAGGTGACATTATATTTCTTCTTCACGTCTTCCATTTCCTCCAACTTCTTATCGGAATCTAATCGCTTGAATGCCTGAAACAAATCAATTCAATTAACACACTATCAGAGAGAGAGAGAGAGAGAGAGAGAGAGAGAGAG